GATAAATCCCTCTCATTCTGTCTCTCCTCCCCAGTGGACATGGTAGATTTGTCTTTTTGCCTGCACAGATGAAGCTTTGCTGGTTAGAATACTAGTGATACACAAAAAAGTGAATTTGGTGCTTGCATCTGTCAAAGACGGAATGAAGAAATTATTTCCATGAAACAATTAAAAAACCCATTAACTTCACATTTCTGCCTCAAGCCCCAAATGAAGCCTCCCTCCTCCTGAAAGGCTTATGCTGGCATAGGAACTTTGAAACCTGAGGCCACAATCCTGCCACACAGCACATGGGTACAAGCCAGCAGCTGAAGATAAGAGACTTGACTCCAGCAGTGATGCAGGAAGAGTCTAACAGTAACAGCTCTGTTATCTAGCCTGCCCTTACATGTTAATAGAATGGGAAGAGCCTATTTATCTAACAACACACAGGAAGAAAATGAAAGGCAGAACTTCACATCTTCTTGAACGGGCACCACTGTTGCTATCTACATAGTTCTAATAGTTCCTGTTGCACTGGTGTACCGAGATACCTTTTAGAAATACTCATTTCCTAGCTGACAAGTCACTAAAAATGAAGTCTGTAACCCCCAATAGATCATAGCACAAAGATATTACATATGCTAGAATAACCTTTTTTCATTTTTGATCATCAGAAACAGAAACCAGGTCCTAATATATTGCCTGAGCTACATCTTAAATTGAAAGACAGAGCCTCAAGTGGTACACAACAAAGTGAGTTTAATTGTAATGCCATAACTCTAGCAGCATTTTCATGACCAGTTTCCACTCATCTATTGCAACAAATCCCCCTTGCTTAGCAGTAAGGAGTCTGGTCAGGTCCTGTGTAAGAATATCTTTAAAAGGTTAGAGCTGTTGCCTAAAGTCATACTAATTCACCAGGGGCCAACCTTCCCTCCAAGGCAACATTTGACAAATAGCACAGCACGACTGCTGGAATGGCTCTGTGTTTTGGGAGACACCATCTTTTGAATGAGATATGCAAGTGGAAGATCTTTTTGACTACATAACCAAAAATGATGGCCTGAAACTGTCAGGAGCGTCAGCCTGCTCACAAAATGTGCATCAGTACAAATAATTATAGGCAATAATGGGCAATTGAGTTTCTCTAAGATTTTTAAGGCACTTTTACAACTCGGATATAGCACAAGAGATATAAGATGTTATCCTCTAGAATTCTCAAATAATAAGCAGTCTTAAACAAAATAATACCTACAGCAACATGATACAACATGGAAATGCTTGGTCAGAATTTGAGCATAATCTTATAATATTATATCAACAGACTTTGTGTGAGCAAGATTTTTCTTTTTTCCTGAAGCTGATAAATTTCTTTTAATACATGGGTGCTGACTTTCAAGCTGTGCATGGAGCCCTCTTCTGGAGAAATTTGAAAAAATAAAAGCTTAAGAATGCAGCAGTGTGAGTTATGCATTTGGGAAAAGAGTTTTAGGACTAATTTTCTCTCTTCACTATAATGACAAGCTTGTGAATTCTAAACTTTTTTCCAATTGACCTAGCTACAGCCCAGTGGAACGTGACAGTTATTGTTAAAGCTATCAAAAAACATTTTTCCTTATCTTGCAAGCTTTACTTACAAATTTAGTGTTAATACATCTGTCTGCATGCATAACATACAAAAGCAAGCCTGTGAACACCTTTTGTTTTAAAACAAATATTTTGTGTATAGGCCTTAGAAAATATCCTTTGGGAAAAACGTAAAAACCTCTCCAATAGATTTCAAAATCTGTATGTATTTACTGCTTACTGTACACTGTACAGTGAACTACACAAACTATCAGAGTACACTTAGTTTTTATTGCCAGCTTCAGATCGATAAAGCTGTATAGTATAGATGTGCTTTGTAGTTTTAAAGGTGATCCTGAATTAAAGAATTACTTGAAACATATCTTCCTCAGCTATTTCAGCTAATGTTCAGTTTTCCTTTTGGTGAAAACAGGACAAACAGTTGGTAGTAGTGTAGACCAAATCTTTGCAAAAGAAAAAATACATTTATCACCCACCTGTTTACCACCACTTTTACAAACATACTTAATGGGCTGAAAAAGCAATTCCCCATCCTCATCCTTTTAATGCCTCAAAAAGGCAAGTTTTTTTATATTTAACAAATGCAGTTGAATTAGATGCAGACCAAGAAAACACAAAACCAAAGTTACTACTTTTAGAAATGATCTTTTAGTTAAAAATAAACCTTTTTCAGTTCATGTTGTTATGAATAAGAATTTCCTCAAGCTTTTTTCTACACTGTAAACTTTGCTATCATTACTTTGAAATGAAGTTATTCCTATCTTCTAATTCCACAGAAAGTATTACATTACTAGATTGGTATTGCTTAGAAATCATTTTATCAAAATTGAGCTTTGCAGGTTCCACTAGCATTGTATTATATGAGGCATTATTGCTAAGGGAGGAAAAAAAGAAAACTTATGAAAAAAATCTCAAAATGTGTTACAACCACTACACAGCCAGATGGCTGCATTTGTTCAATATGTTGTTTCTCACATTCTTCTGTTTACTTTTCCTGTCATATGAAAGTTGTGCATGTGGTGTGTCAAAGAGAAAAGCCAAACAGCATTTCAGTAATTCCCTTTTCCTTCCCTAGCATGCTATCACCTTCAGTTCATACTTTAACCTGCCAATACTCAACACCCTTGTACCTGAAGACAGATTTATGTACACTTCCTTATTATAGTCTAATTCATTCCCTAATTCATTAACTCTTAGACATGATCTACAAAGTAAACTTGGAGATGTGTTAAATCACCAGGTAGAGACATTGCCAGATAAAGCTACATGTGCTAATATAGAAGGTGGGGTGCAGTTTAAACACTCAAATACAAAGCAATTCTAAAGCACCATAAGCTCAGCCCTGCAGCGTACTTGAACTCATCTCAGCCCAGCAAGAGAAGAAACTCTGAAATATCGTTGAAAGTTATCAATAAAGTGCACAGTTGTTTTCAGAATCAGGTGTTCTGCACCTTGTCAGATTTTTAGTAGTTACTGATGTTAAAAAAAAAGTCAGCTATGTGGTTTAATAGGCCTTAGAAGTCTGTCCTCCTCTATCATATACACACTGCTTTTCCTACAAGGGACTGCTAAAGAAAATCCAGACTCAAACTGATTAATTCAGTAGTGTGCTAAAGATGGACAAATAAGGACTGAAAACAGAGAAAGCCAAGCAAACTGCAGTCCAGATGGCAGGTCTCAAGCCCAAGGCAAGGGAGCACCCACTCAGTATATCCACAGGTTACCTTTACATCATCTGTGCCCTCTCCCCCCAGCTCCTCTGCTCCCTGAGCATTGCCTCCCACTGGCAGCTTTGCCAGCCCAGCTGCCTGCCCAGGCTGGATCTCAGCCCCCTTTGACAACTTCTCCTCCCCAGGAGCCCTCTGGGCATCCCCAGCCCACCAGAGAGCTGTTCAGCCCTCCCCAGGAGCAGCAGCTTGCCCACTCGCTGCAGCCAGCCTCAGCAGAGCTGGCGAGCTGCCCGCTGGCCAGCCCTCCTACACAGTCCACAGAGCCTCAGCCCAAGCTGTTAGGAAGGCCCTGCAAGAAACTCTGCGTATATCCCCAGCACATGCTGCTCTGGCTCCTCAAACTCATCCTTCACCAGTGCATTCAGACACCATACCTATGGCCCAAAGCAGCTGCTTTCATTTGTTACACTCCCTGAAGCAGGATTGTTATCCTGAACCCACCCAAATGCCTATGTGCTTGCTCACGAGTCCCCAGTCACCGAGCCTCCTGCTGTCCCATAACTTCAGCCACCCACGTTAATGCTTTTACTCCTTATCAGGGTAAGCCAGGACCCAAATATCCTAGCCGCGATCCAGAGCATATATGCATTCAGTTCACCCTACTGCTTCCTACTCACACACTCTTGATGTATCTCCTCTCAGCAATAAAGCTCTGCCAACAGTGATCCCTCACCATTTTCCTCCTTATCATCCTGTTTTGAAAAAGCAGACTAAATGCCAGCTGGAGATTGCAATTACACAAACACAAGTGCACAGACTCAGCGTCCCGAGCACTAGTTTGACACTCTAAAACCTACCAACCCCCTAAGGGTTAACAAAACCACTCGATCGCAAGTCAAAAAGGAATTAACTTTTATCTCTACTCAGAGCACAGGACACCAGTGCCACTGTCACTAAACGCAAGAGTTTACAGAGCTCCTAAGACAAAAGAAGGAAGGATGCATTTAAGCTGATCAACAACAAAGGATTTCCAAACCTCCCCAGAGCTTTCAAAAAGTGAGCCCTGTAAGAGCAGCAAGAGGCAAAGAGAGCAACCAGAAGCTATTGAGAAGTCAAAGCCCAGCGAGTCCCCTTGCTTTGACAGACAGCAGCAGCAGCTTTAGCAGCTCCGTGTTTTTAAGGCTGGGTGTTTTTTCCTCCGCTTTCTGGCAGAGGGGGATCAATTACGTTTAATAAGAGAAAGGCTACATAGCAAGTCACTAACAGAGTATTACACATCTATCAAGAGAGCACGGGGAAGGGAACCTTTTGCAAGGTCTGATTTTATTTTTCCTCCATATTCCTCCTCCTTTTTTTTTTTTTAAAAAAGCAATAAATAATGTGAGCTGCCTATAAGCCTACTACCCGGCAAAAGCCACAGAGAAAAGAGGCAAATCAAAGTTGCAGCATTTGATATGACAGAAAATACTGCTGCTGCAGCTGCTACCGAGACACTTGAAAGATTCCCCCACCACCCTTCCTGAAGGGAAACAAAAAATGCTATATATCACACAGCAAATTTGTTGTAATTGTAAATCAAGGAACTATAAGATTCTACATTCCTAGCAACTGGCTTATAGCAGAGATCTTCATCTTTCAACAGTAATTCAAGCAGTGTATAATTACTCAGAAATCAGACCTGAATTACAAATACTTTCAAACCCAAATGCACAAGAAAAGGAAGATGAAAGAAAGCAAGGAAAAAAAACACACATTTCTTACCTGGGACAGCAGAAAGGACAGAGTAAGTTGAGTTTTGTGCTGCATTTTGCCAGACTAGAAGGTACCAGAGGCTTTTTCATTCATGCACTCGGCTGCACTGAGCATATTTTCACTGTGAAACAGCCTTTGAGAAGAGACTCTGCCTTGAGAGCCAGCCAACTTCCCAAATAGATCAGCAGCATCATCACTAAAGCATTGGATAGAGTCTGATGACCAGAACCAATGGCTTTACAAGGATGATTTCTTCACAAAGCATCCCCATTTTGCATCACACATATTGGGCAAGCACCTCTCACAAACACAGCACCTTTAGAAAGCATTTTGGTTTGGTGTATTTGTGTGTTTAGTTTCAGTCTAACAAATCATGCCTTACAGATCTCAATAGTATTTTCCCTTTTAGAGAATGGAATTGCACAGAAAGAAATAAGAGCAAATCTGAGCACCGCTGCAAAGAGGTGCTCTTTATTAAGATGTTAATAAGGTATGCTTTATTTTCAATAAATCAAAAAAATGACCACTGCAGTTTTAGTTACTCTCAAGCCTTAGAAGAAGAACAGGGTGAAATTTTTCAGTGCAGCAGAAATACAGATAATATTTTGTGTTTTCCCCTCAATCTCACAAATCACAATGAAGACAGATCAATTCTAGCCTGCAGAAAATAATCCATCATAAGGCAATAGATTTTATTAACTGCTCAGGTAATGGCAGAACTGGCTTTTGATTCAATGAACTTGAATCTAGGACAAAGTTTCAAAGGTGCATGCCCTTCAATTACAAAAACTTTCCCTGTTTGGAAGAGGGGACTTGATGTTTCAAGAACCTGCTTTCTCTGGATTGGTTACATTGCAACCCAGCAAATAATACCAGGCAGATCGACCAAAGATTATGAATGAATTCCCCCATCTGTATTTCCAGCCCCACCTCTCTTGCCACTCCCCATTATCACAACAGTCCAGTCCTTTTTTGACTTGTCTTCTTGCAGTCACCAGGGTTATTTAGCAATACCCTTCCCCCATTTTCAGTAGGGTCAAAAGTCTCCTCAACTCTTGTGACTGATACTTTTCCCTTACTTGCTCATCCAGCAGAGCCAGCTGCCACCACTTTCTGCTCTGCCCCACCACAGGTGGCTGCTGCACCAGTGGAGATGAGCAGAGACATGAGGAAGGGAAAGCTGGCAGGCAGACAGGAAGGGATACGCATTCAAAGGAGCTGCCAACCACTTTGAGTTCCCCAGCATCAGCTTCCTGCTGTGAATAATATTTGATAGCGTCCCCAACCACTGCTAGTCTACTGCTCACATCTTCCTTTATTTACACACTGGACCAAAACTGAGCGAAAACACTATCCTTCCAAGTCTAAGCCCTCACATGCAGCAACAACTCTGCTCCAGTACCTTCATCACATATGAGTATAAATTAGCACTCGAGATGGATCGGGATTCAAACCAAATCCAGCAGGAACTACCAGTAGCAATTATAATGCTCTATGTAACTGCAAAAGGTTCACCACTTACACATAAAAAAAAAAGCAGGTAGGTTGCTTTCTTTTTCATCTTTTTTTCAGGCAGAAAGCTAGCTTAACAAAAAATCTTAGAGCTCTTTATGATTAAAAATAAGTGAGTGACCATCTCCCCTTGCTCCTTCAGGGTCCCAGCGTTCCACCAACTGTAAGTCCCAGCCTCAAGAAAAGCACCTCAGAAGTTTATAAACAAGGCTGTGGGGTTTCCATAGGGCATAGCCTACAGACAGCAGCACCAGCCGTACCACAGCATGCACAGCCTTTGTATGGGAGCGCTGGGATTTGAACAGTCTCTTAAACCCCACAAACAGAGGCCAAAGAGCTGAGCAAGTTACCAGACCAACCAGAAGTAGGTGGTGGCTGAAAGAAACAAAGGCATATCTGCATCCTGTTTCACAGGAAAGGCACTCATTAAAAAAAAAAAAAAAAAAAAAAAATCAAGTCATGGGGTAGATGATTCACTCCAAAATAATGCTTGCAGTAACATGAGATTTGAGCCAACATGAGCAGTTAATTTCTGCACAAGACACGGCATGGCTACGGGGCCACCCCACAAAGGGAGCAGAGAGGGGAAGGAGGAGTTTGAGGTCTTTCCTAGTTCCCACAGCCACGAAGAGCAGGGCTGGGCCTGCGGCCATGGCCTCCTTCCTCACCACAGAGGGGCCAGCCATCACAGCAAGGTCCGCGGCAGGGCTAGCTTCCCTGAGGGGCCCCATCCAGGCCTCCAGCCCTTCAGAGCCAAAAGCAACCACATACCACCCCCCCCTTTGCCTCCCAAAACAGCAACTACCCTCTAATAACAATGAAAAAGAGCATTGTTTAAAAAAAAAAACCAACTAATTCACTAACCTTTTCCCTCCAGTCCCACACAGCCTGTTCCTCCTGCTACAGCCTGTCCCTCTTGCCTTGGCCCCCTGCTCACAGCTGCTCCTATTTGACCCCTGAAGGGGTAATTAACTGCTCCTGGAGTGGCAATTAATAGCTCCCAGGGTTTAACCCTTCACAAGCTGCTGCCAAGCCTAGGCCTAGCATGGCACACCGGTATGAGGCAGCCATGTCCTTCCCCAGTGCTCACCCACCCAGGGCCTGGCCGCCTCTGGGAAATGGCCTTTTTGGCACTGCTCACGTGAGGTAAAATCCAGTGCACAGCAGCCCTGGGTGCTGAGGGGGGGTTAACTGGGTTTAACTGGGGCCTCCAGCAGCTGGAGGTGGACAGCTGCTGCAAATCAGCCCCTGAGGCCCAGGACAAGTGTTTGGCCCCTTGCAGGTGGGCTCCCAGCAGGGCTGTATCTTCTGGAGTCAGGAGCAGAGTCTTCTCCGCTAATTAGATTATTAATGAAAAGCTGGTATGGTCTTAATTAGAAATTAAGAGTTGATTCCTCAGTCTTTCTCAGCCTTAGGTGACAGGAGGAGGTTCAAACTCTGTAAAACATATCTGAGGAGCAGGCCGGGAGGCAAGGCTCCAGGTGATGGAGGATGGTTGCTTTCTAATCCCTCCCCTTGAAGCAATTTTACTGCAGAAATGAAACATGAAGTTTTGGGGCTATGGAGTGACAGTAACAGAAATAACAGCCTCGGGTTTAGGCCATGGTCAGAGGAGAGGCTCCAGGGTTCAAGCCTTCCCTTTTAGGGCAAGCTGTGCTGCTCTTACCCACTGCCTGCTGATGGAAAATGCGTAGTAAGTTTAGGCAATGACTGAGGGGGGCTTTGGTTTGTGAGCAAAGAAAGCTCCTGCTGAGACCTTTTCTAGATCCAAGCCTACATTAATTGATGGATGTAACATGCTCTGCCGTCTTTAGATGCAAGATACCATCATTTTCACTTATAAAATCTTGGGCAACTTGACGCCTCAGCTCACTCTCTCTCCATGATACACTCTGGCAATAGAGGCCAATGCTGAGCTGAGGCTAATATGAACAGTATTAATTGCCTGCAACACGTAAGGTGTTGTCAGAGATAGACCCATTAGCGGACGAGGGAGTGACTGCATGCTGCCAGAAATGCCTTTTGACCTTCGGAAGATTTGCCCTGACTCTATTTTGTAAAAGCTGAGGATCAGCTGCCTTGAATCTATCAGAAGAACAAGGGAAGTTTAATTTCACATTAAAGTGAGTCACATAAGAAACCTGGATGCAAGAGAGAGGGACTAATTTCCCCTGCCATAGTACTGGCAATCTATATGCTCCTGGCTGCTACACCACACTGCAGTTTCTGACTCCTTCAAGCTTGGAAAAAGGTTTTAGCATTGGGCAACAACTGGGGGTGCATGAGCTTGACTGTCATGTCTCTAGGACAGAAGGGACAAAAAGGGCACACCCCCAATATGGCAGCATAATACAGTCCAAGATAACTCAATCCTCATCAGATCAGCATTTGCCCCTACAGGACAGGTGGAATCATAGAATCATAGAATTACTTAGGTTGGAAAAGACCTTTAAGATCATCAAGTCCAACCATTAACCGAGCACTGCCAAATCCACTACTAAACCATGTCCCTAAGCACCACATCTACCCGTCTTTTAAATATCTCCAGGGATGGGACTCAACCACTTCCTTGGGCAGCCTGTACCAGTGCCTGACTACCCTTTCGGGTATAGCTGAATTTCTTTTAGGGCAGATGGGCCAAGTACATACTGGAATAGAATATCAGTCAAGCAAACAAATTCAAAGAGTAAGTTTAGCTGTAGTATATTTGACATTGCCGTTGTTATTAGGAAAAAACATGCTGGTTAGGGCTTTCTGAAATCCTGCTGGGTTCACTCCAAGAATGGCCAGAGAACAGAAGAAAGTGAGCCTGACCTGCTATGTCCGTCAGATTTTTTGGCACATCACCCTCCTGCTATGCCTCAGAGGAGCCACCACCATTTCCTGAGGATAAGAAGTTGTAGTAAATGTACCTGGCTAGAGCTGGAATCCATAGCAGGAGTGAAATCCCATCTTCCTGCCTGACGTTCTCCAGCAGGAAGAAATGAAGCAACTGGCTGCAATAATGTTTTATTCTGGAGGATGGAGATTTAGAAGACTGCAATAGAGTTGATTTAGTGAAGAGTTAAAGAATGTGTTTCCAGGCTCTGTGGTTTTCTGCTTGGCAGTTCTGCCAAAATAGGTTTGGGTAGGGATTCTCTGTCTCAGTGCAGCTGAAGTTTCTTTAAGAAAGATTCACAAAAACACCAAAGGAAGAGTTTTGCAGTTTGAAAGTGAGCCCACAGCTTTTCATTATGTACCCAACACAGTACCTCCATAATACCTCAAACTCCTACCAGTATTTCTTACACTATGGGCTTACTGGCAACAGAAAGTTTGGCATTAGTGCAGCTTTCTCTAAAACCTGTGGGACTGCTGAATGCTTTGTCTACTGTTTCTACATCCCAGCCCAAGCTCTAGGATAGTAAATGGGTTTTGTTATCTTTCTTGCTAACAGACAGGTCACAGGCAACTAGAACAAGCTGGTACTTCAGTGAGAAGAAATAGGGTGTGTTTCATCGTCAGAAGAGGACAAAAACCAGTTGGTGAGTCAAACAGGAATCTTACGTTTTAGAAAAACCCTTGAGAGACCACCACACC